ACTGTCACTTATTCAAACACGGGTTCTCCCGCGATGTTTTCTGTTGCCAACCATTTAATCTTTATGTACAATGAGTTTGCCTTTGTAAATTGATGTTCAGAAACTGTTTGATGAAATGCCCGAGAGGAATGTTGTAACATGGACCACAACCTTGTCTGCATATACCAGCAATTGGTAGACCCGATAAAGCTATCATTTATACAACCATATGTTGCGTTCTCATTTAGAGGTGCCCAATGGGTTCATATACTCTGCTGTTTTGAAAGCATGTAGTCTTGTAGGTGACACTGAACTTGGTAGATTGATTCATGGAAGGATATATAGATACAAATTGGAGGAGGATGTTGTTTTGATGAATACCCTTTCAGACATGTACGTTAAGTGTGGAAGTTTGAGTCTTGCCAAGAAAGCTTTTGGTGAGATTTTGAATGCAAATTCCACTTCATGGAATACAATCATTGCTGGGTATTGTAAAGCAGGTTTGATGGTGGAGGCGGTGCATTTGTTTCGTCGAATGCCTGAACCTAATATTGTGTCTTGGAATAGCATCATTGCTGGCTTTGCAGATAGTGGAAGTCCACAAGGTTTGGAATTTTTGTGTATGATGCATAGGAAAGGACTTAGGCTTGATGAATTCACACTACCATGTGCACTTAAGTCCTGTAGCTATCTTGGTTCATTAGCTACGGGTCAGCAGATTCAGTGCTATGTCCTAAAGTCAGGTTTTGAGTCCAGCTGTTTCATTGCTTCTGCGCTTGTTGATATGTATTCCAATTGCAGTGTCTTAAATGAAGCAGAAAAGCTATTCAATCAGTACATGTCTACTGAAAGGACATACGATAAAGTCTCTCTTCTGAATTCTATGATATCTGGGTATGTTGTCAATGAAGAAAATAGAGCAGCTCTCAATCTGGTTATGCAAATCTATTTTTCTGGTTTGTGCATTGATTCCTATGCTTTCAGTAGTATCTTAAAGATCTGCATCAACTTACTCAATTTGAGACTTGGGCTTCAGGTGCATGGTTTAGTTGTCACAAGTGGATTTGAATTAGACTGTGTCATTGGAAGCATTCTTATAGATCTCTATTCAAAACTAGGAAATGTCAAAGATGCTTTAGCCCTGTTCCATAGGCTCCCAGAGAAAGATAGTGTTACTTGGTCCGGTCTAATAATCAGTTGTGCTAAAATGGGTTTTAACTCATTAGCTTTTTCTCTCTTTACTGATATGGTTAAGATGGACCATAATGTAGATCAGTTTGTCATATCAAGCATTCTGAAAGTATGTTCAAGTTTAGCATCTCTTGGAAGTGGTAGGCAGGTCCATGCTTTCTGTATTAAGATTGGTTACGAATCAGAAGGGGTTATAATGACATCTATGATTGACATGTACTCAAAATGTGGTGAAATTGGGGATAGTTTAGCTTTGTTCATCTGTACATCAGAAAGAGATATTGTTTGTTGGACTGGGATCATAATGGGATGTGCACAAAATGGAAGAGCAAAGGACGCTATTAGGTTTTTTTATGAGATGATACAATCTGGATTAGAACCAAATGAGGTCACCTTTTTAGGAGTTCTTTCTGCCTGTAGACATGCTGGCTTAGTTGAAGATGCATGGACCATATTTAGGTTCATGAAATATAAAAACCAACTGGAGCCCCAATTGGAGCATTATTATTGCATGGTAGATCTTCTTGCTCAAGTTGGCCGTTTCAAAGAGGTGGAGAAATTGATTGATAACATGCCTTTTGAGCCTGATAAAACTATATGGAGCTCCATGCTTGCAGCCTGCGCCATTCACAAGAATATCAAACTGGTTACTGTGATTGCAGAACGCCTACTTGTAACCTCTTCGCGAGACCATTCCGTATATGTGATGCTTTCAAATGTTTATGCAACACTTGGAATGTGGGATCATTTAAGTAAAGTGAGGGAAGCTTCAAAGAAAATGGGCATAAAAGAAGCTGGAAAGAGCTGGATCAAGATTTGAGGTCAACAAACCTGTTTTTTTGTCATAGTTCAGTGATTGAAGCTTGATTTAGAAAGATCAAATTTAGCAATTTTTAATATGTTCTCAAGGTATCAAGAGCAGTGTCTGTCTCAACTGTTCTCAAAGGGCCATACATGTTGGAAAGGTTTCATGAAAATAATGGAGATCAGAAGCATTACATTTTGATGGTTGGAAGGGTTTCAGATTTTCAACAAGTCACCCTTGGATGCAATACATGGAGAATTCTTTCATTTTAATTACATGCGAATCGAATTCCTTCCTTTCCTATCGTTGAATGCAGTTACCATCTCTTGTCAATCTCCATGTCTTCCTCAAGGTTGAAACTGTGCAATTAAACTCTGTTTTCCCTGTTGAGAGAGAAGGAAAGAGAAAGAGGTGAGGAAAGAAAGGAATATAGCTAGTTAACATCTATTTCCTTCATTCCTTCCACTGTTTTTCGTTCTTTCTTCACTTGCTTAATTAATTTCCCATCTTTATCCTTTTCTATTAATTATTTACCTCTGTTCATGTGCAGTTCTCTGAAACAGAAATCTGCACTGGTTATTGCATGGCAGTTTTCACTTGCATTGGTATGTTTGTTCCTTATTAACTAAGTAGTTATTAGTTTTTTTGCTTAAGCCAAACGGAACATGTTTTTTCACATAATCTCTTAGTTGAGCAAAAGACTAAAAGGTGACATGCATGTTCTTTGCAGAATGCTCTGTCATGAACAATTACCATCATTTGATATATTAGACATATGTTAAGCACAGATCAGAATCTTTTCCCGAGTATCACTGTTGTTTGTATTTTGCTGCATATGTTTAATTTTACTATTCTTTTTTTCTTTCATTTTTTTTCCTGAGCTTCCGTGATTTGAGGATTTAGAGATGGTCACTTGAACAATAAAAGATGTTGTTACAAAAGCAATATGATTATAATTGATGCAATTGGTCCTTTGTGCATGAATGATATTTCAATAAAATGGCACCTTGCTGTTAACACTGTTAGATCTTTGGCGTAGCAGTAAATGTTTGAACATTCCTCTGATAAAGCTTCAGTTTGAAATAAATCTTTTAGATCTAAAATTGCAATTTTCTTTTTCTCATTTGATTATTAAAATTGCAGTTTCTCTTTTAATTTAAAAAATACTATTCTTTTTCGTCTACCTATCTGAATCAAACTGAAAATTAGATGATTAATTTGACTTGATAAAGTTAGAAATTCATAACTACATTAAGATCATTATATACAAATTACTAGTATTCTTATTGGTAGGTAAAGTCATATCCTTAAAAAGAAATGAGTAAGAATTTTGTTTTGTGATAAAAGTCCATTCATCTCATTTGAAGAAAAAGAAAAGAAAAAGATGGGTCTGTTAAACTTCAAATATTCAGTTTTACCAATAATATACAAATAACTTTGAGTTGACCATCACTGGAGATTGCATGAACT